ATTTAAATTTTATATTTATATTACAACAAAAATAAATAAAAAAAGAACTAGGAGTGACGGTTCTCGGCGTCATCGTTTCTTGAGCTCGTCTCGTCCTGGCGGTTGGGGACTGGAATCCCCAATTGTTTCCGTCTCGCTGCTAACATCATCTCCAATTGCGGGTTTCCAGCCGCTACAACGTCCAGAAAACCCTCGAGTGATCCCATTTGAGCTTGTATCGTGCTCAAATCAGAACGCGTCGCGTTCAACTCTGAACGCAACTGAACCGTCTCATCTTCCTGTCACTGAGCATAAGCCGATGTCGCTCTTGGGACATCGTTAACGGAACCGATCCCCAATCTACATCTCTTTTTCTTAGGGAGGACCTTTTAAAAAAGTAAAAAATTAATGTTTAGCTTAATAATAAAAAGTTAGATATGATATTTGGGGTAATGAGGTATAAACCTATTGCTAAAATGCTCAGTTTTTTATTATTGTTGTTTTGTGTACCTTATGTTTTAACAATCTTAATTGTTTATCAATCTCAATATGTCTGATTTTGATGAGGTGAAAGAAAAAGAAAATTACATAGATTTCTTGCATATCATTGTTTTTGCTCTCACATTTAACCCTACTCTGGTCATACTATTAATTTCTTTCTCTAGTGAACTAATCTGATCTACTGTTAGTTGAATCGTTTTTTTTTTCTCCTCTTCTTTTCATGGATCCTTTTTTTAATGAGCTTTGATGCCCATTAAAATACTTCAGATTACATTTTTGCGTCTGCGCTTTTTTGTTATCCAATGAACTGTCCAACTTATCTTGATTTAGTTTTTGTGTAGAGTTTTTGTAAGCTGGGAAAACACTTATATAGTTAAAAAAAAAAGTATCAGAGCTAAGGGTCACCTTACAGTTTCCGATCACAAAGGCCCTGTTCGTTTTCACTACACACCCTTTCTTCCTCTCAAGAGTTAATATATGAAATATATGTATATGTAAAAAATTTGCACGCTACAAAGATTTACTGGAATTTTTCATTATCCATGAGTTTAGACGTTAGATATAGTCGCCACAACCTCCAATCATATCTTTGTAAAAAAATATGCTTAACATTCATATGTATACGTTGAATATATGAATAGTCTTCTAGATTCACGAAAGTTGTTCAGATACATAAGCAGAGTCGGCCCGTGGGCCAAGCAAAGGAAGCAATGGCTTCCAGCCCTTTTATAATAACAATATTTTTGGCCACACTTTTTCAAAACTCTTCTTTAGTCTAGTGGTAAAACGTAATAACTATTGACTTTCTTATACCAACCCAGGTTCGAACCCACACAAAAGTGGACCGTTTTTTTTAATTTGCTTCTGGTCCTGAATTTCCTAGGACCGGCTCTGTACATAAGTAATTCACATATGCATTTTAATTCTTTTCATGATCTCTGTTGTGTTCTTGATAAACATATACACAGATGAAAATAATGTAGATTAAACTATTTTAAAATCTCAAAAGAGTTGGGATCATCCTAGGATGAAAAGAGAAGCAACCACATATAAACTAAAAATTTGATTGTTATACTAAGAGTTGCATGCATATATTTGTTTCTTTTGGTCCTTTTGTTTTCCCTATTCCGCTATATTCTCTTTAATAGTAATAAGTTTCAAATGTCAGAGAAACCGTATTATCTTCAACTTTGTAAGTAATTACTCAGCTGATTTTATCACTACATTGTCTAAGTTTTCACTATTATATGAGACATTAGCAAACTAATGAGCGCTATTGATTAGTTTTCAAAATAATATCCAAGTAAAATTTACCACTCTGAATTTACCAATTTCACCAGTTTCGTTAAACATCAATAAAAAATACCTTACAAAACAGAAGTTAAGTTTGTAAGAGCATCCACATCAATGAACCCCCTTTTGGGGTTCATTGAATTAATTTTTTATTATTAAAATTTTTTCTGTTTTTCTTTTTGATTTTTTTAAAAAAAAATAAATAGATGAATCCCGGGCCGCCACGTGTCGTGGGGCCCGTGCTACAGTGATGAAATTTAGGAGAGGGGGATTCACCCAAGAGAACTTTAGGAGAGAGGGGTTCATGAGGTTTTCTTATTTTTTCTTGAGTTCTGTGTGAACTCCCCCCATAAACCCCCTATAAACCTTTGATGGACTTGCTCTAACCGTCTTTTTAACTTGCAACTCTTAGTTGGTATTTCTTAAACATGCACACCTCTTAGATCAACATATTAACATTTACCTTTTTGGTCAAATATTATTATTAACATTTACTGTAAACCTGAATCCATCATCATCTTTCTTAACAAGCTCTAATTATTTTCTTATCTTCCGGTACATAGATATGTAACCAGTTTCCATTCGACATCATGACATCTCAGAACCTGGTGCATTTGTGTGGTATGCAATAACTCTTCATATTTAGTTATTGTTTTAAGAATCATTTAATGATCATTTAATAACGTCATTTTACTTATAATTGTAAACACCAATTTTTTAACTTTAAAAAAGAAATGGAATTTGTTAACTATTATAAATATAAAAAGTTGTTATAATAGAAAATAAAAACACCATTTTAAATGTTGTTTGGAAATGACGAGGACTTGTTATAAAAAAATTCACCGTTTTGCTGGAATATGTCTTTAGGAAACTATTTTCAGTATGAACTTCATAACTGTAATGAATTTGTAACTTTTCAGTAAATTAATAATATGCTTGATAAATACCAATTGATTTGGCGTATTCCAAAATAATGCTTTTTAATTGTGTCTTGCCACTTTTCATCTCCTTTTAATAAATCACTAGATCTTTTCTCCGCGCGATGCGCGGATAATGCCTATACATATGTATATTATTTTGATGTTTAATTTACAATGTGAACTATTGTTTTATTTGTGATTTTTTTTTAAATATATTAGTTATATTATTGACCTTCTTAAATTTGCTATATATTTTTTTCTGTTTGGAATTTTGCAGTATATTAGTATATTAGTTTAACTTTGGATACTATGAATTTTGTGTGCAGTTTATGTAACCAAATTAATATGACTTGCATGCATAACTTTAGAAAGTTGAATGTGTTTATTTTCATTGTATATGAGCATTGAAAAGATTTAATTATCAAACAAAATTTAACTAATGTATGAGATCAATAGTCTTTGATATTATGGTAGAGAGTATTTTGAAGAGAGGATCAGTAGTTGTAACTTTTATATGAAAGGTAAACCCTGAAGATGTTGTAATATCAATCATTAATTATAATATATGAATACATGTTTTTTTCTTATGATGATATAGTTAACACATAGTTGACAACAATTAAATTTTGATCATCGACTCAACACTGTTACGGACTCTCAGGGAAAAAAATTCTTTATTTTGCCTTTTAAATTTATTTATTTATTTATTTAATTTTAATTATTTTCAAAATTTAATCAATAACATTTTGTATATTTTGTGATGAAAGTAAAACTATATACATATAAATTATTTGTGTGCCTTTTCCAATTTTATCTATTAAATTTTAGTTTTTGTGTATAAAAATATGAATTTATAATTGATATCAGTTCACTTAATTATTAATATAGGGGAGACATAAGCTAAGACACGGGATGGTCACACCATTTGCCGATCTTGGTTGTGATTCTTGTTATTTAGTGCGAGAGTCAAGATATTATACATCAATGATGTCTAAAACATAGGGAAACATCAAAAGTGAAAATTCTATCAGTTAAGCTAACTACGTATTTAACTGAATGGCATACAAAATTGTTTAGTTACTTTGGTACAATGTTAAACTCTTGATACTTTTTGTAGACTATGTTCAGAAGATGTAAACTATTTTTTGAATGATTGTAACATTTGAAAGAGCAACATACAATGACCATGTGTGAAGACCAGTTTTGACAAATATACGTGAATTTCTTTTAAATTTTGATTATGGCTCTTTTGTCTATGCGTGGTAATGATCCAAAAATAATAATAATATGAAGAAAACATTATAAGTTGATAACTTAGTTTATTTTTTCAATTAATTTTAAATATGAATAATATCATTATAAATTTATAGTTTTGTTTTATAGAAATATAGCTAAAGTATGATGGTTCCATATACCTTTGTATGTTTATAAAATGTACAGATTTTATTATATATAAGTACCCCATGCATTTGATTTGTATTTAGTTATGTAACTATTAAAAAAAAAAACTTATACACCTTCTTATCAAATTAGTTACATGCTACATGTAGAAATTAAAGTAGAGGAATAATTGTTTTAAACTTTATAAAACTTAAAAACCACATTGAATATTATATAGGTTCTGAATTTTCAACAATTTTTTATTCTTTTTGCATTTGGGACTATTTGATAACATCATTATTACTCGTATAGTCATATGTTGGCTATATGCTACACATGTCCAGTTCATATATAATATGCTTATCTATTTATCCTTTTTCAATAATTTTCTTTTACTTTGGTCAAATCCTGTTCGGTAAGTATTCATCATCTTCTTTCTTCCTACTTTGATCATTTATCATTTCCAATTTCAGTTTTATCACAAACTCCAATTGGATCACTTTATTATGTTGTTGCAAAGAATACATTTTTTATTGACAGAAGAGTTTTCTTGCTAAAATCCTCACATGCTATTTTTGTTTTCTTTGTGATTTTCTAGTTGTTTACATATAAGATTATACTTATTTAATTTCGAAGGTATTTGTAATAACAAATTTCAAACAAAAAAATGGTAACACTTTTGAAGACAAAATTATAAAACAATAGGTCTTCTCTGTAAGTCACATATTTTAATATTAGACAAACGACGACCTAAGATGGTTTAGATCACAAAATGGTATCTTCCAGTTTACCTAAAATTTACTAAAATATAAAGAAGAGTAACAGTTAGGAGGAAAAGTATATATTTTATATTAGTAATACTCTAAAAAGAATTGGACGTAGTAAGCAATTAGGGATAATTGCTAAAATTTAATTAGATCAGAGTATATACAATATTTCTAAGTTACTACTCTACCACCGAAAACGGTGAAGATTAACTATGCCCGTTCAGAGAGAACTTAATCTCTAGAAAAAATATAGAGGACAACAAATACGGTAGAATGACAGAGTAATTGGCTAACACCATACCATAAAATTATAAGAGCCATGCTACATCTGCACAATTGCATCACTTCGTCCTTGGTAGATCAATAAATAAAAGGAATGAATCATCATCCAAACATTCTTGTTTTGCTTTTACATGATGGCATTTGCCGCCTCAATCAAGTAAAAACGGCTTAAGATATTCTTTCTTAAAGATTCTAGCATCTTCAAAACTGCACCACTTCATCTTGGGGCTGTTTCTTCAGATATTCAAGGTCGTCCTCCTTCTCTGTCTCTCTAGACCCTATACATATTGGCTATTTCCTTCACATACTCACTATGACTGGAACTCCCTACTAAGCCCTTGGCACAATGTACCTATACACCACAAATCAATTATAGATTTGTCAGACTTAAAACTTTGATACTTTTTCACATAAAAGGTACCAAGAGTTACATGTTGAAAATACATGAACTTTAGGAAGCTTTTGCGGTATCCTTCTCATTTTTATCTTCAGTCTGACTTAAAAAAGAAATACATTAACTATCAATTATGTACTACTTGATGAAAATTAGATATTTAAGCTTGTCTTGTGTTAACCGCTTCTCATAAGTCAAATAATGAACTCATGATCATCTCTTCTGAAGAGAACACTATCTGGAGTTTCACCAAACAACGACAGTAGTATGTCACCTTGTTAGACTCAGAGATTGTTCCCTCTTACCTTCATGGAACCGCCATCAAGCTCTTTTGTATATGCATCCCAAAATTATGGAATATGGATTAATTCAAAGACAGAGAAGATGTGCAAAGTGGATTTCTGTTTCCATCTATATATTACCTTCGGTGCTTAATGAAACTGAAAGCCAAGTAAGAGAAAACCGTGGAAAAGAATATATGCGAACGTGGTGTTTATGATCAAAGTAATTAATGAAAGATTAGGAAAAGATTAAAAGAGTGAAAAAACTTACTGGAAGGCAGAACAGAGTATCTTAAGGATGAGGATCCAAAGATATAATTTTAACATCTTTCTTTAGATGCTGTAGAATCTTCTGAGCTGAATCTTTAAGCTGAGCTTTGGCTTCTACTTGAACTTTGTGTTTGGGTGGTGAGGAGCGTTGTTGGCCCATAAGAAAGACGACAAGCGAGCGAAATCAGCGAGAGCTGAAGATTGCAAAATCAGTTTCTCCGGTTTGAATCAATATTCTCATCCTCACCGACCATCCCGCCGACACAACATTTTTGTGTGGAATACGTCGCCCTTCACGCTGCGCTTGTACGCCGAAACCAAAGGATAGCCTCAAGGAGCTCATCAATAACAATCCAACAGCATGTTCCTAAAGCCTATAAGCCAAGTTCAGTGACATGATCTCGTTAGATTTTCAATCCCCTGCCATAGTAAGCCCTTGACTATTAGGCATTCAGATGGGCTGAGAAACCTATAGAAGTCTGCCAAACCCTGCGCTCCCTTACTGCTGATATTGCGAAAAAAACTGAAAAAAATTAAATTTTGTGATTGACACTGCAGCCAAGTTGTGGAATATAACATTATTCTAAGTCAAAAATATCACATGTAATTTTACCTCTCTAATCCAGGAAATGGTAAGGCTTCACAGAGGGGCCCGCTTGGACGTGGAAAAGCTTTTGAACCCCATGGTATTCCATTAATAGGTCCTGGGAACCTAAAAAACATACATTTAAATGTCCCATCCAATAGATTCAAGCAGAACTTTTGCCATAAAAAATAGATAACTTGGTTAATCTCGTCTGCTGTTCAAGATCAGAACTTTCCAAGGATCTCGTACACGAATATAAGGCGGGGGAAAAGTAAAGACAGCCATAATTCTAACCTTGAATCCACCAGGTCGATAAGCTTGGAGAGGATTATGGATTTTTGAAAGCCAAAGGAGGTTGTGTTCGACTCATTGGAGAGCAGACTGTAAGCAAAAGTTTCAATACGCAGGTTTTAATCTAAAAAACTTAGAAAGTTACAAAAGTCAACAAACTGCTCAAGACTGACAAACAGCCTAATATTCTCGCATATAAAGAGCTAGATTTTTTTTTTTGAACAACAGAGCTTCAAACCTTTGAATTATCTAACCTTTGATTACACCTGGTCCAAAATATTATCATTCATAGGCTGAAGGTTATGAGACGCCGGTGGTTGAATTGGAGAATCACTGCAAGCAAATTACATCCGCAATTAGCAACCGAGCTTCAAAACTAAAAACACATAAACTGATAATAAATCCATATCATTAATCCTCTGAACAAATCGAATGTGAATATAAAAACTCTAGATTCGACACTAAATCAGTTTAATTTTGAGATTCTTTGAGAAAAATCTGAGAAAACAATCAGATACAGTATAAAGAGATGGGAGGAAGGCGAAACGGTCCAATAAATGCTGCAGTCATTGCAGAGTGATGGAGTGGTGTCGATGGATCTACTTAGGTTGAGATGCTGGTACGGCGAAGAACCAGAGAAGCCACGGAGAGGGATTCACGAGAGAGAAAAGGTGATCGGCTTGCGTGTGATGACGTGGCGAAATTCTGCTCTCCTATTGGTTGATTATAATTGTCGATGTGGCATAGCTCACAGACCCTTATATCGGGCTTTTAATAGTGTTAGATTTGCCACACATGCCTTTTTGAACCATAATTTCTACCGTCAAAATATCATCAAACTTTAACAATTTTTTTATATAATTGAATAAGATTTAGATTAAAGATTTTTACTAACAAATATTTTGACCACTGCAAGTCTTGGGTTACATGAAATATTTTTGTAGGATAAGACAAATAAATTTACGTTTTCTTTTAAGCAAACATGCAAAGATATAAACAAAGTTTCCAAAATTTATATGTGTTTCGCTTATTTTATGATTCTTTTGAATAGTGACTCTCTCTCTCTCTCTTTTTATCTATTTCTTGTTATAAAAGATGATTATTCATCTATAGGACATCTATCTATGGGACAGATGTTAGGACATGTGTATTTATCTGAAAAATAGTCAATTATCACCTCTTCAATAATTTTATGAAGAGTTAATAACACTGAGAGGGAGTTTACGCGTATTAATAAGAAACAATTACACCAGAAGACATTTTCAAGTTATTTATTACAAGATAAGCCAGTTTATACTACCAAGGTAGTTTTTTTTCTAACTATTTCTCTCTTGAACTAATGTGCCAACCAAAAATTTGACCAATTATGTATTGTGTTTTCGTGAGAACTTTCCTCCTTTACACATTTATTTCCCATCTTGATTATTCCTAGCAAACAAAAGAAAGTGGGTTCCATGTATCATTTTTTTTCATTTCTTTCCTTTTTTTTTCTTTTTGTAAAATGAATATTGTTCTGAACATTGTTTAAGGAAAATATATTTATAATTAGTATCTTTATTATTCAATCTTTATTTTTAGATATGTCAAGCTATATTTTTGATGAAACAAATCATTCAACAAATTAGAAACAAAAAATCACATTTTCGAATTTTTAAGATTAAAACCATGATTCATGATTAATAGCTATCACATCTGAGTAAGAATACATAAAAAAACAAGTTTAAAGAATCGTGGAAAATAGGTGAGATAGGCGGAGATTAGGGTTTCTGGTCGACAATGGCTAAGGAAGAAAATAAGATTATTTTTGTAATTTTCAACATTAATAAAAAAAGAAAATTCGTGTGTACATTCATTCAAACTGTACATGTGTACACCTAATTTTGTATTATACATTAAAGTGATTGTGTACATATTAGAATCATCAGATATCATAACTTGTGTAGTCTACAAAAGAATCAGCGTACATGTGATTTTTCATAAAACAATTATACATGTGAACACTGATAATGAAGGAAATCTTATCTCACTATGTACATCATACTGAAGAAAAAAAATCAAGAAATCATCTTCTATGTACATGTGCATACGACATGGAGTGTACAAAATCACATTGTACATAAAACAACAATGTTTCTACATGTATGCATAAGTTTGAGATACATTTTAGATGTCTAACATATTGTAAAATTGTGTACATGTGTACATTAAAGGTTGATGGCATACATGTGTACAACTAATATGGTAGTGTAGATGTGTACAACACAGAAAAATTAGGTTATCCTTAGGCTATTTCTGCAATTTGCAAAGTTAAAAGCCGAATAGAAAAATTCCAGAAGTTCAAGGACCCATTCGTCTAATCATGGACGGTCTGGTCTGTACAATTAAAAAGTGAGGAGTCAATTTGAAAGGGAGGTATTTGCAAATCAGAAACTTTTAGGGCAGAAATGAATATACTCAAAAGTTAAGGGGCCAGATGTGAAACAAAGCTAAAAGTAGCCATTATTGCTCATCGAGCTTTCACGATGAGGGAGAGTCGCATCAGAGAAGCTTGAAACAGTCACGACTATCATTGCAGCTCCAATAAAGTGATTTGATGCTAATGATAACACAAGATCCGTCACAGATTCGCCGGTACTTTTGATGTATCTCCCCTTCACCACATATATGGGAAGCGAAAAGAGAGAAAGCAGATAAGCTTGCATTGACTTTTTTGGATTTGTAGATCTCTTATAAAAAATTTAATCAGTGATATAGAAAATTAAAGAGAAGATGAAATTTTGATGGTGAAAAAAGAATGAATTACATAAAAAAAATGTGATTTATAAAATAAAAAAGGAAGAAGCCAAACATATTTCTCACAAGGAAGAAGAAAGACGTGATGATAATTAAATAGAGAGAGAAGAGAGATAATGCAAGTTGTCAAATGTGTGACCATTTTGGACAGATGGGCTAACTTAGTTAACAATTGTTTGGTTTTAGTTACCAAAAACTACCTCAATAGCTGAAGCTGTCTTATATTGTAATAAAAACATGAAAATTGTCGTTGAGTGTTAATAACTCGTAGTTAAATTCCTGTCTCTGTAACCAAACCGATTCAAATTCTTAATTTTGTTTTTCAAATTCTTTATTTAGCCTACAAAGAATCCTAATTTATTTTCAGGCTAACGGTAATCACGGTTTTCGTGATATAAGTGGTACGAAATTTAAATGTGGTACGGTACAATTGCGTTCGTGCGGTATGTGTGCTAAGTCCGGTTTTGATAGAAACAAAATAGAGCGGTTTGATAAAAAAAGGTATGATTTGATAGAAAATTAATATAACAGAAATATATTAATACAAATAAAAACAAAAAAAAAATGTTTGTTTAGTGATATATAAAATTTTAAATCTATTTTTTTAAAAAATGATTATAATTTATCTAATTTATATAAACTATGTATAAGTTATTTATTAAAATAGATGCTTTAACTAAAAATAAGTAAGAGAAGTAATTATTTATGGTGCATTTTATTCGATAAATTTTATAACAAAAATAATTTTCAGTTTCTAAATGATAATTTTAAATATTTAGTTGTTTTAAAACTAAATACATTACTTTTTTAGGCTTATAAATTATATTTTACATATAAAGGTACCCACTTATTTTTTTTTATTCACTTAGAATATTTTATATTTAAGAATACATGAACCATTCTGAATATTTTAGTTAAATATATCAATTAGTAAAATAATTTAATATAAATTTTAGTTACTATCAAAAAATTCATACGCATAAATATGTGAACTGAATAATGAAAATAGATAAAATTTAAAAACGAAATGTTACCAAAAAAAAACTTAAAAAGAAAATTAAATAAGTTCAAAAAATTAAAGAAAAAGAAGTAAAAGTTGAAACAAAAACCGCACATGTAGATGAATACCGCACCATAATTGATGCGTGCACAATAATATGTGTGTTACTGTCAGAGGTAGAACAAAGAAAAACCTAGTTTTTCCAACTACGTTTTTGATAAATAACGTCACGCACATTAACTATTGTTGTGAATTGTGCATCATTTTGGGTTTGTTAAAACCACACCAAAATCCATGAACAATGTGTCGCCATTCATACACTCAAGCTTGAGAAAAATTGACAAGCTTCGGAAAAGACTTTGTGTAGCAGTAATCTTCTGTAACCTTCCATTCTCTATTACACATTTACTGTATTACACAGCTATCAACTGTAATCTCATAACCTACTACAAGTTGAGAAGAAGCAAACAGAATGAATTACTCGTGTATTAAAGAAAAAAGAATTATTCGTGTATTGACTTCTCAGTTTAGCCAAAAAAAAAACAATCAATTACTCGGTGTATTATTATTTTTATTTTTGGAAAGAACGGGGAACGAATGCTTTAAATTGTTTAAGTTCCCACTGTAATTATCTTAGTTGAGTGTAGGCACATCTTTAACTTAATTATACTCTTTATTACGGTCTTTAACTCCCATCAAATTGCATTAATTGATTATTGAAACTTTAATATCTTTCCCTTGGAACCCGATATATATTGACTCGTAGTTGCAGCTATATAAATCACGGGAATCCCTCTACTTTAACAAAAAAAAAAAAAAAAACGAAAAGAGAAGGAGAAATTAATTTAATTACTTTCCTTTTATCGCACCAAAATGAATATCAACAAGAGAAAGAATAAAGAAGATGAAAAGTCAGATTTTTTTGATACCACAAACAAAGTCATAGGCATCGTTGGAGCAGTCGTAGGTCTACTATGGTTGAACGGATCCGGCTCGAAAAAGGAAGAGAAGATGATGAAGGCACCTCGAAAGGATGGCTACATTGTCAGGAGAGAGTGTGAAAACAGCCCAAAAGATTACTTCAAGGATTTGCGTGGTAAGAAAAAACGAAAAAAGAATATTTCTGAATATGTATGCGGAATAAATTTGTTGCATGTGACAAATATGGTACGTCTATTGATCGTGTTATTGATCGATATCAAACTTCTATTTTTAATCTTATTTTATGTTCTAATAATCGTCGGCTTATGCTAATAGCCTAATATAATGAAACAACGACCGTTGACCTTTTTAAATTATACTATTTGACTAAGATTATCGTTTACGTTATTGTATACTGTCACTTGTTATCAAATTTACTGTTCTGGATATACTTATCTTTTGCAAATCCACTCAAATTAACTGTGGGTGTTCGATCAAATTTAAAGAGTAATCACCTCAGCCCCCAAATTCAGTGTTAATATATCATTGATCAGACCCTTTGTCTCATTATACTTATCAAAGATGTTTAGACTCTCTTGATTTCAAGATGAGATCCTAGATTCAGGTGCAAAAAAGACATAAAAGTCAGCCGAATCTTAAAAAAAAACGTGATTACTAGAAACAAGTGATCCTATTTTCATCCCTCTCACCACTTTAAAATACAGTTTCATCTTCTCCACGGAATTTTCTTTCTTTCTTTCGCTTTTAGCTTGTTTAATTTCGTTTCTAGGCTCTGTATTAAGCAACATTTGTGTCATTAGGTTATGGTTGACTAGCTGAATGGATCATATCCATTTTATATGTTTATAAGGGTTCAAACATTGACGAAAACACAAGTATTTGGGACATGTTTACGAAAACAAATCTTTTTGTCTTTTGTTGCAAGAAAATTTTTTATTTGTGTTGATCTAATCGAGCAAAGTTCAATTAAAATGATTCGAACTGTCATCTTGAGATAAAACTATATGTTTTATTGGTTATGGTTCTAGTTGAAGGAATCATATCCATTTATATATTTTCTCTTTTTTAATTTTTATTTATTTATGTTTTCTAGCTTTTTCTATAAACTATTAACTATGTTACCCACATGAAGTTTATAGCTTTTGTTTTCCATGTTTGGCCTTCGAAGCTTTTCTATGAAGGCAAAACAAAAAAAAAACTTCTGCATGAACGATTTATTTTGCAAAATAATTCGACTTTCTGTAACAGTTAATTCTTTGAATATTTTTCCTCAGGGGATGTAAATTTTCTGAAAAAGGAATGATCTTGAACCATCATTTATACCATGGTCACTAATGGTTAAGTTAAAAGCATTTGCTTTAAGATTGGAACAACTCATATACAATTAAGTTCAAATCAGAAAGCATGGTTACTTCAATTAAAGGAATAAACTGGATTGCCCGATATGAGAAAAATTAGAAACCAAAGAGTTTGACTAGGCCAAAATTAATCCCTCTAAATAATACTTGCAAATATTTAAAAAATGACAAAGATAGTTCATTAAAATAGTCATTATTCAGTAAAATATTCATTCGCGGAGGATACGATCTCAAGTCAAAAGCATGCGTATTCAAAAGAAGAGATGGCTAAACATACACCGTAGTGTGATCAATACAAATGTCAGAGCAGATTTGTAGAACATGTGATTCACTTATGACTTAACGAAGGCAATTTCTATTAAAAGAAAAAAAAAAGGAAGAAGTATCAGGACGTCAACATTTACAACACCTCTTAGATAAACAATCCCCAGAAAATGTCATTCAGTACCAAGCCGGTGGCATATATATTTGTAGGTTATGTCATTCAGTACACAAGATTTATAGTAACAAAAACTAAAATGAATCTTCGAAGGAATATAGTTGGATTAAAGAAACTTATAAACAAAGCACCTTTATAAGAAATGTCACCACTAGCATATTCCCTAAACAATCCTTTGAAAATACAAAATTCACTGCATACGATTTAGTAAAAAGCATGAATGATCAAAGGAATAAACAAGATATTGAGGAACCTCAGAAACAAAAATATGTTTGTTGACACATCAGTGAAGTCTTGAACACTCGCAAAACCCCTAAAGATCAATAGAATGTGTAACTATTCTATACAAAATTCAGTCACATTGTATACTATACGATTCACTGAATATGTAGGATTTCAAGGAAAACATTTGAATCTTCAAAAGAATATATTTCATTGAGGAATATGAGACAAAATTTCGCTTGCTCTTCATATTCCTGTGTCAAGAAAGCTTCACATGTTGACTCATTGTTCTCTAATTTTGTGAGTAAAGAAATATCATGAGATTTAGAAAACATTAATAGCTTTAATTACCAGCTTCAAGCTGAAAAACTTTATGCTCCTCGTAATAAATATCTTGAAAAGAAAAAGTAATGTTAACAGGAAACCGTTTTCATTTTTGCAATGCTTTTTGATATAACAAAATCAATATGAGACTTAATTGAAGTTACCACTCTGGATTTAGCGAAACTAACCAATAGCGTTGGTATTTCGATGTAGATATTTTTTGTTGATGTTTTACTTTTATCCTCATTAATTTTTTTATTTCATCGCCACCAGTCACATCCAAAATCTCGTCACCAATATCAAAAGTTATAAGCACCCATGCTTTTCTTTGACGATATTAGCCAATATAGATTTTTGTTTTGTAAGTGTTAAGAATCTAACTGGTAAAACAAAATAACTTGTAGTTAATCCATATTTTATAAGTTATAGGGTTCCCCAATTCAACAATTTTATTTAAGGTCTAAAACAAAGTTGAATATTTGTTCTTAAGATCATAGCTAGGTTGATTAAAGAAGAATCATATCGTCTCACTGGATCAGGATATGAATATATAGAGAGGGATACTGTCAACCAATAGTTCCAAATATAGGTTGACTATAAGACTATAAGACTCTGGTTTTGGTTGGGTCTTCATGGTTTTTGGTGGTTATTGAATGGATCTTCGGAAATATATTATTCTGGTTCTGAGAAGGAATGGGATCTGAAGGGTTGTGTCTATCATGGAGGGGAGAGATGAGATTCGGTGGATCTTATGGGATCGCCTTGCCGATTGGCGTATATTCCACAGTCTCCTCGAAGATGTTAGAGATC